AGAGTGCTCACCTTGAGCTGAATTGCTGAGGGATAGCGCCCAGGCCCAGAGTTCAAGCCCCATGGCCAAAAAAAAAAAAAAAACAAGGTTCAGCTGGGAATGTGGCTTAGTGGTGGGTAGACTGCTTGCCTAGCACTCATGAAGCCCTGGGTTCCATTCCTCAGTACCACATACACAGAAAAAGACGGAAGTGACGCTGTGGCTCAAGTGGTAGAGTGCTAGCCTTGAGCACAGAGAGGCTCAAGGACAGTGCCCAGGCCCTGAGTTCAAGCGTCAGGGAAAAAAAAAAAAGGACAAGGTTTGGGGAATGTTGAACACTTCTTCAACTCTAAAGCATTGCTTTCCAGTGCTATGGGACTTTTCTATGATGGAAATATCTTGAATCCAAGCTTTCAAACACAGTAGTCAACATCCACATGGAGCTGTTAAGCTCTTGAAATGTACATGAGGCTGATATATATAGATATAGATATAGATATATATAATATTGTATTATATAACAATATATATGTATATATATATTTTGTTGGTGGTGGTGGTTGTGAAGCTTGAACTCAGGACCTGGGTACTGTCCCTGAGCTATTTTTGCTTAAGGTTAGCACTCTACCACTTTGAGCCACAGCACTGCTTCCAGTTTTTGGGTGGTTAATTGGAGTTGAGAGTCTCCTAGGGATTTTTCTGCCCAGGCTAGCTTTGAACCATGATCCTCATCTGCCTGCTGAGTAGCTAGGATTATAGGCATGAGCCACCAGTACCCAGCTAAACAATTTTTTTTTGAGACAAGGTCTTGCTATGTACCCTATTTTATTTAGAAAATTATCTGCTTAATTTTGCCTGGTCCTATCATACCCAAGCTGGCCTCAATCTCTGATCCTTCTACCTTAGCCATTTAAGTGCTGTGATTCCAAGCATTTGCCACCATACTCAACTCAGAATTTTAAATTTTAATTGACATTGTTGTAGACGCATTTGGCTAGTGGCTACTTACTATATTGAAAGTGCAACTCTAGAGCCTGAAAGATAATGGACTTGGCTATGGAGCTATGGAGAAGAAGCAGGGACATTATAGTTCCAGTCTTTATCAGGCTCTGTGAGTGGTCAGCATCGGGGTTGGGTGGGGCTAAGATAAATGTCCTCAAACAACAACAGAACGTTTCTCTTGCCTCTTTATTCTTGATGAACATTTGCCCCGTCTTTACGCAAGGTCCTCATCACATTCTGATTTCCCCACTCTTTGAAGGTCTCTCTTGAGTTGCTGGGTACCTCTTGATAAAAGCGCCTGGGAGATAGAGCTTCACACTTATCCCTGCCCACTGCTAACTGTCTTTGGCGGGCATCAAAGACCACATGCCCTGCCCGGGTGCCTGGTCCAGGGCAATGGGGCCTCCAGTTGTTTTTTGGTGGCATAGACACCTGGTGATAGTTCTGGCAGGTTGAAGGAGTTGTATCCACAGGATGGCATACCCAGTTTTGGCTGCCTGTCTTCCAGGATGATGGCTTCAACTCCACTAGTACAGGTACCTCAGAGAAGGTGTGCAGGTTAGTGGAGATTGCCTGGGCCTTTGAAGGGCAGGGATTTTGATTGTCTGGAATAGACCAGGATACATGCTGTTCTGCCTCCTCCTGAAGAGGCATTTCATATATATAGGATTTGATTGAGGAAGATGTTGGTTT